AATTGACACCAAAGCATCTCTCCTCTTCACAAAGAGGGTTTGATCAGACTGTGTCTGTGTGTATCCAAAACGGATGAGTGCCCCTCTGAACCTATCAAACCAAGCCCTAGGTGACTGTTTCAGTCCATACAGAGATTTTCTGAGTCTGCACACCTTTCCTTCACCAATATTTTCATAAAAGCCTGCTGGAATGTCCATATATAACTCCTCCTGTAAGTCACCATTGAGGAAAGCATTTTTTACATCAAGCTGGAACAAGGGCCATGAATAGGTGGCTGCTAGAGATAAAACGATGCGAACTAAACTCATCTTAGCTACTAGTGCAAAGGTTTCCAGATAATCAACACCATAGGTCTGAGTATACCCTTTGCTACCAACCTTGCCTTGTACATCTCTATCTTGCCATCAGCCTTATACTTCACTGTGAATACCCATTGACATCCGACTATCTCCTTGTCTAGGGGGAGATCAACTATTTCCCAAGTTTGGTTTTTGACCAAAGCATCCATCTCATCTTGCATGGCTGTTTTCCACTCAGGTTTGGAGAGAGCCTTAGTAACATTCCGGGGTATAGACACAGAATCCAGGGAAGAAAGAAAAGCACGGTAGGAGGGTGATAAGGCACTGTAGGAAAGATGGTGTGAAATGTAGTGGGTTGTACACTTTCTCTTCCCCTTACGAAGTGCAAAGGGAAGATCAAGGTCAGTGGGATCAGCTGCAACAGTGGTGTTAGGGGCAAAAACATTACCATCAAAAAACATAACATGCTCAGGCTCAAAAGGAATACCTAGAACTGTATCTGCCGAATCTGGAGTTTCAGAAGGACTGACAGAGAGTGGTGTGGATCGAGGATGTGTGGAGTCAACCATCATCTGTCGGCGCTGATATTGCTGTGAGGCTGCCCGTAGTGGCTCAGGTAATGAAACTGGAGGCGCAGGTGCTAGCTGAACTAATGGTGCAGGTGGAGGCGGAACTGATGGAGGCACCACAGAAACAGGAAGAGGAACAGATTGTGAGTTCTCCTCCCCAAAACTCTCCCCCTGAGGAACACCACTTGAGAAGAAGAATGTGGATTCAAAAAAGGTAACATCCATAGTGACAAATCTGCTCCTCGACACTGGGCCATAACAGCAATACCCCTTTTGGTTCTCAGCATACCCAAGAAAAACACATTTCTTGGCCTTAGGATCCAATTTCTTGCAATGAGGGCCAAGAATGTGAACAAAAAAAACAGCCAAAAAACCTCAGAGGTATATGAAATATCTCTCCATCTGGAAAAAGAAGGCTAAATGGCACCTTAAACCCCAAAGTCCGTGAAGGAACAYGGTTAATCACATGTACGGCTGTAAGAATTGCATCTCCCCAGAACTGCACAGGAACTGAAGCACACACCATAAGACTCCTTGCCACCTCCACAATGTGTCTATTTTTCCTCTCAGCAACTCCATTCTGTTGCGGTGTATACGCACAACTACTCTGATGAACTACACCATATTCTAAGAGATACGTAGTTAGGTCCTTCTCAAAGTACTCTCTGGCATTATCTGATCTAAAAGCCTTAGTTCTCACTCCAAATTGTGTGAGAACCATCTGGTGGAATTGTCGTACTAAGTTAGGAACCTCATCACGTGATCTCATCAAATATATCCAAGAATATCGTGTATAATCATCCACAAACAAGAGAAAGTAACGGAATCCTCCCATGGAAGGGATTTGATATGGCCCCCATACATCAGTGTGAACAATATTAAAAGCAGAAGTACTTTTATTACTTGGTTTAAAAGACTGTCTACAATGCTTTCCTAATTGACAACTCTCACACTCCAAAGTAGACAATTGAATAGACTCAAACAACTTTGGGAAAAGACATTTCAAAGAACTAAAAGAAAGATGTCCCAAGCGATTGTGCCAAAGCATAATCTGGTTTACTGACTCTGACCCACTACTACTGCTACTGCTAACATGATGGCCCTGATGTCTCGAAATCTCATCCAGAAGGTAGAATCCATTCACCTCACGACCACTCCCAATCATCTTCTTTGACTCCAGATCCTACAAAACACAATTACAAGGAAGAAAGGTCACAGAACAATTCGATTTTTTTGTCAAAGAACTAACAGACAGTAGGTTGGTATAAGTCTAGGGACATGTAAAACAGAGGACAAAGTTATATCATTGGTCACTCTAACTGTCCCCTTCCCAGCAATGGGCATATGTGAACCATCTGCTGTAGAGACTATGTCTCTACCAGAGAACAACTGATAGGAACTGAAAATGGTAGGGGCATTAGTCATATGCTCAGATGCTCCTGAGTCTATAATCCAGGGAGGTCCCTCCTTACCTGAAGCGGATGCAAGATTCGCAGTTGCATATGAACTACCTGTATGTGAAAAGGAAGTGGTGTAGTTGGCTCCTGCATTCTGCTATCCATCTGGAAGGCTAGAGTTGGGTGAATCTTTCTTACTCATAAGCTGTCCAAACCTCTCCAATTCTGTTCTCACTGCTTCTACTGCAATGGATTCCCAATCAGTTTGGGAGAGAGGGGCTGGAGAGTCTCCTGTAGTGGCTACATTTGCATTTCCCTTCTTGTTTCTTATCTGAGCAGGCACAAGATTTGGATGAAGCTTCCAACAAGTGTCCCTGGTATGCTTAGGCTTCTTGCAATAATCACACACCAAGTCCTTCTTATCTTCCCTTCTAGCCTCACTACTCCCCATGTCTCCATTCGGCTCAGGTTTTGTTGTACCAACCATAGCCGACTGGTCAATCCCAAGCTGTCTCAACATTACATTCCTCCTACCCTCCTCTCCAGAGACAAAAGCATAGGCCTGAGAGAGTGTCACACCCTCCCTAGAAAGAATACGTTGCCTAGCAATGTCAAATTCAGGGTTCAGCCCTGCCAAGAACTCAAAAACCCTATTCCTCTCTCCCAGTTTGTGATAAGTTGTTGCATCATTTACACTTTCCCATACCACAGTTTCTAAGTGATCTATTTCCTGCCATAGGGTTTTCAGCATGGAGAAATACACAGCAAGAGGTTTTTCTCCCTGTTTCAAACTTATCACCTGAATTCTTAACTGATAGGCTCTGGCTTCATTTTGCTTCTAAGAGTAGGTTTCAATCACTCCATCCAAAATCTCCTTAGCAGTATTGGCCCATAGGAATTTTTTTGCAATATGAGGTAACATAGAATTACACAACCAGGACATTACCATGTAATTCTCTTGCACCCATCGGAAAGAGTCTGTATCAGGTTTCTTCTCCTCCCCAGTGAGATACCCTAAATTTCCACGGGCACCAATAGCCATCTTAGCTGATTGTGCTCACTCCAAATAATTTGTACCATCAAGTTTTACTGTAGTAATGATCCCAGACCCAAAAATATCACTACTACCTCCAACACCCAGTCCCACAGTACCGGTAGATTTCATCCCGGTATTCCAACTCTCCCTTTTACTTCAAACAGTTTAACAGTAAGAAAAAATAGATTGGAGACC